TTTTCAAATGCTCCCGATTTCTGATGTCTCAAGGTTTGCAAGTATGCCTCTCTAGCAGGGACTGAAAAGGGGTGAAAAGGTTCCCAAAAAAAAGTTCTAGTTCCAGATCTTTTTGGTGTGAACGCAAAATCCCAGGAACTATTGGAACTATTCCTGGGAAAAGTACTAATTGAGTCAAACAAGCTTCTTATTGAGCTCTGAAACTAGTGCTGATGTTGGTATGTATTTCATTTATTAGTTCTTCGGATAGACAGTCACCTCCAGTGACAGCGTGTTTTTCTTAAGTATTTAACATATACAATATGCTGAATTTATTTGTTAACCATCTAGCTGCGTATTTCAAGCAGTCATTTTAGTGATACGGTGTGTTTATCATCCTCCGTCATTTCATGTTAAGAGCGACTCCCCTGAGGACAGGACCGACAATCATTAGTGAGGAAGTTAAACCTTAGTCCTGTACAGTAGTGAGATATATTAAACCTCAAAACTGCACGGTTGACGGACCCAACTGATCCAACTAGCATGCTGTTATACTAACCATTTGGAGTGACAATGGTCATTATTAAAACATTTAAAAGTTAGAAGAGTTTAAGTAGGACAGACGTTTTTAGTTGTTACCTAAAGTTTCTCTGTGGAGTTTTCTTACATATGTTCATGTGTCTCATCCTTGAGACTTGACAAACTTCTGGAGTGCATTTATTCCATACTGTAAAATGTCTACCAAGCCAATATTTTTGATTCATGGACGTATAAAGAGAACTGGATTGATACAAGGAGGAGGGGCCCATTCTTTCCGTTGTTGTAACCATGGTAATGCCAGCTGAGAAAGTTGGATATTGGATGTTAAGTTCCTGGTCTAAGTTCTGTGATACACTCCGACTGTGAATCTATGCTAGTCAGTGCATAACAGAACTTTGTCCCGGCTCTGAAAACTCTTCACACTGAAGGACTGACGGATGGATGGATGGATGGTCTATGGTCATCTCCCTTGCTGTGAATGAAATTCCACTACAAAGCTGAATGAACTAACATAATAAAAGCCTTGAGGTCTGCAGAAATGAAACAGACGAGTGTTGAAATGGTTGGAACGGGCGGCTCATGTGTGCACAGGGTGTTGCTGGAAAAGCTGTTTGATAATAAAGTTTGATCCAACACACTTATTATGTATCTGTGTTTTGATGAAGTAGACCTCTCCCTGAACCAGAAGTTTCCCTGAGGTGACTCAGCAAATATTAAAGATGTCCTCTCTGTGTGTTGTTGCAGGAACCTTCTCTCTACACAGTGAAAGCTGTTTTCATTCTGGACAATGATGGCAACAGACTTTTGTCAAAGGTAAGAACCACAGCAGGGAGGGTTCTTCAGATGTTTGGGTCCATTAACTGCACATTCATCCTAATCTAACATTACAGTGGACCATCCGAAGCTTAAATGTGAATGTAAAAAATGTTGTAGTCCTAAAACCTCAAAGTCTTTGGTATGTGGACTCCCAAGCCACATTTGAGTCTAAAATTACTTTTAAATGCAACCCTCAATATTTAAGAAATATGCAATTTTTGCTCTCTTCCCAAGAGTTCGATAAGGGGATCTGATGTCTCACTCTTATACATTGAATGATGAGAGGTGAAACTAATTTACAGAAAGTAAAGCTGCTATAGCGTTTCTCGGGATTCCCTCATGGCATACTCGGCCACTACCAACAGCTCAGAGAAATACATTTACAGACTATAGCTAATTAGAAATTATGTATATTATCCAAAACAGGATGTGATTTGATGAAGATTTTAGGGATTCAAATTCTATTCAACAAAAAATTCCAGAGTGAAGCTGCATCCGGCAGTGGCTCAGTCAGTAGGGGCTTGGACTGGGAGCTGTAGGGTTGCCGGTTCAAGTCCCCGACCAGATCTAAAATATGGAGTGTGGACTGCTACTTGGAGAGGTCCCAGTTCACCTCCTGCCCTGCCGTGGTGCCCTTGAGCAAGAAACTGGACAAAAATGTCACACTTAAACTGACAAAGCATCATTGTATCGTGTTCAGTAGATAAAAGCCTTAACCCAGCAGTGTTTATGTGTGTGTTTCAGTACTACGACCCTGAGCTCTACCCCTCCATGAAGGAACAGAAGACCTTTGAGAGCAACATTTTCAACAAGACTCACAAAGCAGACAGTAAGTTGATGTGCCCTGCTTGTGTGTTCTACTGTACACTCACACACATCTCCAATGTCACCTGTTACTCCTTCCACCTGCTGTTAGCCAACACTAGTTTTTATCTCCACTATGCAGCCAAACCGTGCTGCAGTAGTACTAGGCCTAACATGTTAGTAAACCTTGAAAATCCAGTGACTTTTGGATTTTCTGCTAGCGTTTAAACCATTTATTGTCTGTTCAGGGAAAGATGACGGATACTCCTCAGCTGATACCTGAGTCTCTGTCCCTAGCCTTCTTATCATCATCCTTCTTTTATTCTAGACTCCTCCTGCATTACTCCTTTTCTCCTCTTTTTTTCTCCCATATCAAGCTATATCTCCTTTCCCTCCCTCCCTTTGTCCCGCTCCTCCCTCCCACAAGCATCAGTTGTCTCCCTCTCTCTTTTCTTGTTCTACAAATGACCCCATTTTCTTTTTCTTATTTTCCCTCACCTCCTTCATTGCTTCCTCCCAAATGTGTATCTTTTTATTTTATTTTATTACACATTTCCTACGTTTACTTCCTCCTGCCTTTCTTTATCCTGTCCCTTCTCTATTGCCTCCTCTCATGGTCATCTCCCTCTATATTTCTCCTTCCCCCTTTCCTCCCTCTTGTAACATTCATCCCTCAGCCTTTCCATATCTTTATTATTATGTGAATCATCTGGCTTGATGATTGTCTCACTTTTAAACTTCAGGTCAATAACCTGCTTAAAAAGCTGAGGGTTAGACTAGGTTTCTTCTACAGGAACAAGTCCTGTTTCTCGCTTGAGGCCAGGAAAAGGCTAGTCACTGTGAACTTTTGACCTGTGCTGGACTATGGTGATCTGGTCTATATGAATTATGAATGCACCTGCCCATTGCCTGAACAAGTTAGATGCCGCCTATCACAGTGCACTGAGATTTGTCACTAATTGTAAAGCACTTACACATCACTGTACCCTGTATGCCAAGGCAGGTTTGCCATCACTTACTGTACGGAGGCTCAGTCATTGGTACACGTTTATTTATAAAGCCATGTTGGGTAAACTCCCGTATTACATCTGCTCTCTGATAACACAGAGAGTTGCAAGCAGCTATTGTCTGAGATCGCACGATGTAGTCTTGTTAGATGTGCCAAGAGCAAGGACTGTCTTAGGTAAGACAGCTTTTATGTGCGCAGCTCCACTTGCTTGGAACAGTCTACAGCTAAAATTGAAACTGAAAAATGTTATTCCTCTGAATGTTTTTAAAGCTAGGCTAAATGAAATGCTCTTTGAAACTATGGGTATTTGTAAATGTTGATAAGTATGTAAATGTAGCTTGTAAATATGTTGTATGATATCCTCTATTGTTTTATGTTGTTTTATGTTTCATGTGGAACCTAATTGCTGCAGGTCTCCCTTGAAAAAGAGATCTATGATCTCAAGGGACAATCTGGATGAATAAAGGTTTGAAATGAAATGAGAAGAGATGTGAACCCATCCCTTTCTTCTTCTCTCTGCAGATGAGATAGCGTTCCTGGAGGGCATGACCATCGTCTATAAGAGCAGTATAGATCTCTTCTTCTACGTTGCGGGAAGTGCTCAGGAGAATGAGGTAGGTACAAAATAGTTGATGAAATGAAGGTAATATGTGCATTTTTATAGGTAAATAACGATAAATTAATGGTATTTTAAAGGATTTTTATTACAGTGTGTGAAGGTATAAATTCAAAGAACTTTACAACACCATTAGCATTAACCCGCTCACAGACACTGAACACTCAATGTAGCTGGGAGGGCTTTTTTTTATTTCATGCAGTAACACTTGCTTCACCTGTTGAGAAGGCTCTGACTAAGCCACTGAGCTACCTGTCCAACCCCAGACTGCAGACAGAGACTAACTGGGGAACAACCAGGAGCATTGAGCAGCTTCCCTTAGGAGGTGGTGGAGACCAAACATAGAGCTAAAATAAATGTGCCAGCATGTTGGCTGCTGCAACCTTTACAAAGTTTAAGTTGTAAGATGTCCTTTTGTTGTTCTGTTTATGTTTGTTATGTTTCATGTGGAACCTACTTGAGAAGGTCTCCCTTGAAAAAGAGATCTATGATCTCAATGGGATACACCTGGATAAATAAAGTTTTGAAATGAAATGAAGTGTATTTTTATTTTAAGGGTTTTCAGCTGCCGCCTTCTAAATGGCCAAAACATTCATTTTACTTACACATGACACAGATGAATGCAGGTGTTGCTCTGTCTATGCTTGATGTGTTAATATGCAATAATATGTGAACACACCATATCAATCAATGGGGGATTTTAAGCCTGTTATTGAATGTTGTTGTGAAATTTAAAAAAAACGTAAGTGTGTCTTCAGAATCTAGCTCAAGCATTATTTTCTTGTTATCTCTCTAGCTGATGCTGATGTCCGTACTGAATTGCCTGTTTGAGTCCCTCAGTCAGATCCTCAGGTAAACTCTCTTGTGGTGTCTGACAGATTTATGGCGCAGAATAATAATAATTTTTTTTACAGACTTATATTATTCTGTGTATATTCCATACACATGCACTACCATACTTGCCAACCTTTAGACCTCAGAAATCGGGAGCATTTCAAAATGCAAAATTGGGGGTGCTAGTGGATCGCCGGAGCTGTTAGATTAACATTAACATGCTTATTGTAGTTGTAAGTGCACTGCTTTGCGGCCTGTAGCACCGTCCTTGATGGAGCATATGTGTGGGCTGGACCTGTATTTTACAGGAAAGGAGAGAGTAGAGTAGTTGTCGATTCCTGTTCTGTTTTCTGTGAATATCTGCCTCACCCTCTCAGACTTAGATTTGCACGCGCTACTAAAGAGACGTGTTACCATGGAAACCAAACAATGGTGTAGCTGTATTAAAGTCCGAGTGGAAACAGTCGTGTGTAAATCTGATTTTGTCAGAAATCGGGTGAAATGCGGGAGAAATATGACCCCGGGAGGAAACCGGGAGAGGGCAATGAAATCGGGAGTCTCCCGCGAAAATCGGGAGGGTTGACAAGTATGTGCACTACAATGATCATAAAGCACTGTCATGCATGCAGCCTCTGAACATTGCCATCCCCCCACCGTAGCCTCTCAGATAGGTCTCCATTTTTAAATTAAAATACAGAACTTTGTAAAGGTTTCACAATTAGGTAGCTGAATGATGACAAAATAACACCTGGTGCTCATTTTTAGATACATATTTAATATTTTACAAAGCACCTCTTAGGAAACAGGTGTTGTTCATGTGAAATTACACTCCAGCCATTGACCACACGAGGAATGACCCTGATATAAATGTTTGACATTTTTAAATAGAAAATGTCTTATCCACCTACCGAAAAACGACATCCTAAAAAACAACGTTAAAATGTATTTGCTGTGAAGCACATGTGGAGTTGATAAATAAGTTGATTGCTAGCGTTAGCTCACTGCTACAAATGAACAGAGCCAAACTGCTTTAAGCTATACTGTGTTTACATTGTTTCCTTCTTAAAGAAATGCCTTTACCGAATCCCAATAAAACCACAAATTTTCCTGTTTACTTTTATACAAAATATTTGACTTGGCTAGCTTTTCCCCCTGATAACAGTGATGCTGCTAAGCTAAGCGTCTTGCTCAAGCATCCAACGTGTTTTATAGAATATTAAACTGTTCCTTTATGTTAAGTTGAGGCCATGTGAAATACAGATTGTAATAGTAATATAATCAAGATTGTTTGATTTGTTCTGCAGGAAAAACGTGGAGCGGAGGTGTTTACTGGACAACATGGAGGGAGTGTTACTGGTTGTGGATGAAATTATTGATGGAGGGTAAGACAGTGTGTGCAGCTGTTTGGATGTACTCAACAAACTAACATAGGAATTAGCTTTGCTCAGTTAGTCCTTTATTCATTTGAATTGTTTTGTCTATAAAGTCACGCTTATTTTTTATCCCGTCGCCAGGGTGATCCTGGAGAGTGACCCGCAGCAGGTCCTACAGAAGGTCAACTACAGGGTAAGAAGACTGTCAGTCACTCTACGTTGTAACACGTGTTCATTGATTTCATGTGAACAGAAACCATATAAAGAAGCTGTTAGCGTGTCCTGTTCAACCTCACGCGCCAATCTTACTCTTCTGATTGGTCAGCTAATGTCAGAGCCAGCCTCTGGCTTCGAACTTGTTATTTACATCACAGATAGGGATTCAAAGGTTTATTGTCATATCGTATACACAACTACGGTGTAGTATGTAATGAATGAAAAACTTGGGTATCAGCAGGTTCCTCAACAATGCAATAACGACATAAAACACATTTGAAAAACAACAACAATTAAAATAGTTCAAGCTCATAGCAAGGAGCCAATAGAGTGGTGCAGTGATGATGTATTTGTATAGGCCGATCCTTGATTTAGCATCGCAATGGCGATATTTTGGAATATTGAAGAAAATAACATCTTTGGTGCACAAGCATTTATGATATTTACACTTTTACACAGGATCATATACACATACTAATAACAAAAAATGTATAATAGTTTAAGCATAAATACAATCTCCAGAAGTAAATAACAAACGTACTACTGCAAACCAACTACATCAGTCGCACAACTTCACGTCACCACCGCTAAGCTAAAGGCAGCTAATGTGTGGCGTGATGACATGTTGCAGACATGTATATGTCAGCGGGGTACAAACTTACATATTTGATGTTTAACATGTATAACATTAAAATCGCTCAAGCTTGAATCCAACCAAAAACATTTTCAACAAGCCATTGACTTTAAGACGAGGGAACCCAGAAGTTCAGAAATTCTAACTCATTTCCAGGTTTTAGGACTGAATCCTGCACCACACTATTGCGTTGCTATTCATTCACATATGGGTTGTAATTGGCTGTGGATGTCTCTACAGTATATGATGTTATATCTGATCTAGTCCTGTTTGTGCTGCTCTACTTCTGAGTTGTGAGTGTGTATCAAGCAGTTTGCATCATTTTTGCATTTTCCTTTTTCCATAATAATGTCATTTTGTTGTACAGGCGGATGACAACCCATTATCGGAACACAGCGTGGCCCAGGTAACACACTCCTACACCTTAATGACACTAAATGTGTACAAACATGCATATGACAAACACACATTTAGTAAGTGCACTAAAAAACACACAGAAACACACATATTGTATATTAATGAACACATTTCCCAGCAACAAGGGGTGCTATAATATTTTGTTGTTTTTCTGTTTAACGTATTCCTGCTCGGAAGTTAGGAAAAAAGGAACAAAAAGGGCACAAATGACAAACTCCACATTTATCATAAATGCAAATGCTAAAAACATGTCTGACTTGATATGACCAAGTTCTATGCACATGAAACATCAGCCACTCATACACACACATAATGCTCACTGTGCACATTGCATGTGGACCTTATGCTTATTATTAGCTTGTTATTAGCTTCTTTGTCATACCTTTATCATTAAGTGTGCTTGTGTAATGTGACAACAATAGCTCACTGCTTTCTGGAAAATTAACTCACCCGGCTGCATGCCAACGCTTTTGCTAACCACGCATGTTAAGCTAGCAGCTAGAATGGATGATGGATACTAAATGGGTTAAGCACTGTAGCTCCCTTAATTCTTCACAGATGTAAAAGTGATCACTCTTCTGCTAGATTGAATAACATTCCATCACCACAACAGTGTTTTTCTGATGTGCTTCCCTTTTTCTGCTTTCTGCTGGTGTGCAGAAATGAACATGTGCATGTGAATGTGTGTGTGTGTGCTCATGCTCTAAGCTGTTCTGTATCTGTTGCTTTCCTGACAGCACATAACAGAGAAGCTGGCTCTGACCACTAACGTAAGTCTAACTTCACACCAGCCTTCACTGCACACCGCACGTTGCTCTGTTCTGCCTAACACTTATGATACTATCACTACTGAGCTACTGCACTCTGTTAGAAGTGTCTAAAGGTCAGATAAATTGAATTTAGAATGACTAGCATGTGTAGGAGAACACAAAACAATAGGTTACGCAATATTTACAATAGGTTCATTGCTCTAGCAGTTTGGAGGTAAGGACTCCAAGGTTGAGAAACTCTGCTATAGAGTGGTGCAGGAATGAATCCTAAACCTGGAAATAAGTTAGGATTTTAGCATTTCCGGGTTCCCTCGTCTCGAAGTCCATGGTTTTTTAAACGTGTTTTTGGTAAGAGTCCTAAAATAAGGTCTGTGGTTAACACAAGCGTAAGAGATTTTTATGTTTTGTTCTACGGCATTAAATCATCAGTAAATACCCCTAAGTGAGACCACTAAACGCCATCAGTACGAACATTAGCCGCCTTAGCTTAGCGGTGGTAATATGAAGTGTTGCAACCGTTATGTGGTTTAGCCTAACCTTAGCTTTTTACTTTTGGCAATTGCTTCAACTATATAAAAGTGGTGTTAATATGTGGATATTATGAACAAAACGTGTTAGTATCATAAACGTGTGTTTGCCATAGATTCCCATTTACTTTGGTCGAGGGAGCCCTTGTGATGCTAACTTCAGGGTCAGCCTACAAAAATACTTCATCACCGCACCACTAAAGTAAAACATGACATCCCAAAAGGCTCCGGAAGCTTACAGTAGGGGTTTGAAATGGAGGAGTTTTTATACTGAGCGAGCACACACATGCAAATATGACACATAAATGTTTTAGTTAATTACTGATGAGGTGTTTAAGCTTGGGGGAAAACCACATTGAGATGATGACTAAATCATGCGTTGAATATGTCCATTTAATTAAAGAATAGCACAAAAATGATCATAAGTGTTAAAGGTACCCATGCTTCCGAAAATAATTATGATTATATAATACTAAAATGTACACCTGCTATTCAGGATTAGCATCAGTTTGGCAGAAGTTTGTTTTTAGACTTGTGTGACTGCATTTCCCAGCATCCCACACTGCAGTGAATGGCTTCTCAGTTCCATGTGCCCCCTGCTGTTTAAATTAAGACCTACATGCTCCGTCCTTAAATAAGGTCTTGATTAAGAAATACAAATAACTACAGTTGATCATGTACATCATTTGACAAAAAAAGATTGGTAACGAACTCAAGAGGCTTATTTTAGACATTCTTTTGATTTGAGTGACTTCTGTTTCTCAGTGACCATTCACCCTTGTTATTTCCCTGTATTAAAGGTAGGGCAGAAACACTTTTTGTTGTATTCCATGGAATCCTCTTAACATCCCGATAGCAATGAATACATTACATGCTTTGACAATAAATATATACAAATATTTCATCTGTGGAAGCCGTGGCGCTGTAAAAAGCAAGTCCAATGATCTGCCCTGACCCGCGGCAGATAATCGGATGGCCTACCTGCCTGTCAGCCTTCCATCTCGTGCACAAACTTCTCTCGTGCCCTCATTGGTCGCGTGCGAGCTCGTGTATGTTGGAGAAGGGGCTCTGTAAGGAAGTTTGAAGGAAGGGGCAGATATTTTCCGGTTGTGTATTTTCAAATTCTAGCGCACTTGAGCTGGTTTCTCCATTCTTACCTACCCTACCTTTAAGTTTATGAATTATTCCGTCAGAAAATCACTGAATAATTTATTGGAATTGTATTTGATCATGCGAAACATCACTGAGATCAACTAAATCAGCCGTTTGAAAAAGTTTAAAAATAGATTTTACTTCTCTGATTGTATCTGATTGTATATAAAGAGGGGTCTTTTAAAAGGCCAAATGACTCCTACCTTAAAGGTGACCTATCATGCAAAATGCACTTTTGTACGTCTTTTATATATGAATATGTGTCCCCGGTGTTCCAGGGAATTCACCAAGTGTCAGAAAACACAACCCTCTCTATTTTCCTCCATACCCAAATCTCTAGAAAAGGGGCTGCAACGGACCTGATACAGACTGATACAGATTTGAACACTTCTATGACATCACAAAAGTGGCACTACGGATATTGGGCCAACTCCACCAATCAGGAGGAGACAGCCACGGACATTGCCGTTCGAAAGCGCTGGAGACGCTGTAGTACATATGCCAGGCCTGTAGATGGTGCTGTTCTCACAGAATCAGCCCATGCAAAGACAGTGTTAAATTGAGCGAAAGGAGGAATGGCTAAAATGCATGATCTGTTTGGTATTTTGAAAAATTTAAAATATAAATATGCCTTATATAGGTATGGTCCTACACTATATTATTCAAATATAGCATGATAGGTCCACTTTAAAATGTGTCTGCTTAATAATCCTTGTCATGATCGTAAACACGAGGCTGGACAAAACAAAACATTTCTCAAAAAGAATGTAAAACGTGTAAATCTTCCTGTCCCTGTGTGAACAGAGTGTGACCTAGTGTTTAAACAGTGCTACTGCAACACTGTACAACTTGTATACACTCACTCCCAACATGTGTTTTATCATCCAAATAATTATCATTGGCATACCGTTTGCTTTCCATCTCTAAATGACAAACCCTGGTTATGCATTGTAGAAATGTAATACACACATTTTTGATCTGAAAATAATTATCACTGTCAGCCAAACATGTTTTTAATGGTTCTCTCACACAAAAATCAGGCTTTTCTTAGTTAACTGCATAATTTACAAGACTTCTCATAATGTACTGTATTATATTCTGAGGTGGAAGAAGAATCCGTGTATCTACCGTCCAATTGTTTTTCTTTATTAAACACGTAAACGGAAGAGCGTTCGAGAGGCCTTTTTGCTTTTTGCTTTTTACCTTACTAAATGGTCTAATGGTCATTGGAGCGAGGGGCGGGGCGAAACTCACGGAAGTGATTTCAAAACAAAAGCGGTGATAATATTATAAACAAAGGGAAACAAGGTGAATTTAGCGATCACAACGAAAACGGCCAAGACACATATTGAGCCCAGAAAATGGATGTTACTAAGGGCTGTAAATATAATAAGCCTCTGTCTAAAATTGACAACATTGTTAGGAGATTTAAACTATATAGCGATTCTGCACTGCGGTCACTCAGACGCCTCTCGAGTTTGTTTTTTCAAGTCAGCTGCTCTTCATTATTCCTGCTATATTTAACGAGTGATACAAATATGTTTTACCACAAGTTCTTAAGAAAACTGACACTGTTGGACTCGGTTCTAGTTTGACTTTTACCAGAAATAAAATGAAGTTCTTTTGCTGTGTACTTTGTGAGTAATCCTCTGTCAGAGTCCCCTCCATAGTACATAATGCATGTTTTTCTGCTATCGTTGATGAATGATAAAAATATAATTTTACCATTAGTTCTTAATGAAATTGATACTGTTTGACTTTGTATTAGTTAGCCTACTACTACAATACATTTAAGTACTTTTACTGTGTATTTTTTTAGAAATCCTCTGTCAAAGTCCCCTGCTGAGAAGAAAATCAAACCACTTCTGCTAAGTTGGATGAGGGAATTCTTTTTTGTTGCCATTAGTTCTTCGTGAGATTGATCCTGTTGGACTCAGTACTAGTGAAACTACCCCCACAAGTACTATGAAGTACTTACTGTGTACTTTTCCAACAATCCTCTGTCAATGTCCCCTCCTGAGAACAAGAATGCATGTTTCTCTGCTATTTTGAATAAGCATTAAAAAACCATTCTTCATGAGACTGATATTGTTGGACAGAGTATTTTAAGAGGATATATGGTAGACTTGATATCAGCAATACTTCCAGTCAGTACTCCAGCAGCAGCATTTTACACCTTGGAAAGTCTTTAGAGTCTGGCCTGGATAGCTGGTCTATCCTTCAGCACACTGAAACACTCTGTCACTCTGGTTGGCCTCTTATGATGCTGCTGTCTTTTAAAATATGATTATTTCTCTGCTCCTAGTTAATTCCTCACAGATTCTTCCATCAGTCCCAGTCATTGCATGTCAGTCAATAGAGCTTCGAAAAATGTGTCCAAATTCAACAAAATGTTTTGTGAGTGAAGGCCAGAGCTAAATTATAGATTGTTTGATTGTGTAATTACAAGGTGAGAGAAAAATAAATCCACATCCTCCTATGAAACGTATTTTATTTCCTTTTCCATTTTATACTTATACTTACTTGCATTAGAACATTTGCATGTTGAACATGATATCTTCCCCAGCCTCAAGGAAATACAATAAAATAAATGGAGCGACACAAGA